GTCAATAGACATTCAAACCGGAAACAATAAAGCTCTCCTCCCAGAACAAACACCCACATATAACCAAACTAACCATGAAACAAGAAAGCCTCAGGAAATTTCAACAAGCCACCCAACCCCAATGTTAGAGAATACCAAAATCCAAATGACTAAAACAAACCAAATAACAGGTGAACCACCAACCACTCATAGTTGTCAAGGCAACGCCTAGGCGACAAGGCGCCCTTGGAAGCTCGCCTCACCCAGTTGCCAAGCAGTTTTTCATACTGTGTAATAAAATACTTTTATATTATTATTTTTTTGAGATCATAATTATAAAATAGACATTATTAAAGAAAAATATTCATTTTTTGTGTTTATAAACTAATTTCTTTTTATTATTTTCTTATTTGTTAGGGTTTAATCAACACAAACATTGCTAACTGCTGTATTGAACCCTCAATGACTGCAAAATCTGAACTAACAAGTAAGGGAAGAACTTAAAATTTTGTCTAATCAACATATTTCTTCTTCCACATCTTCTTCTTCTTCCACCTTTTCTTTTCTTCTTTTCCTATAACAAAAATAGGGGTTCAGCCCCTATATTTTTTTAATTTTCTTTCCTTTCTTATTTCTCTTCTCATAAATATGTTGATTCTCTAGATTTAAACATGTTGATTCATAATTTCTTATGAAAATTATGGATAGTTATTAAAGAAACTTGGTTATGAAACCTAGGGAACTACCCTAGGATATGTGATTTTTACTTCAAAAAATCCATTGCCTAGGCGATGCCTAGGCAACAAGGCACCGCCCTGTCACCTAGCCTTGCCTTGGCGCCTTGAAAACTATGCAACCAGGGATTGGGGGTGAAATTGCAAATTGCACACAGACCAAGCCAGTAATGAGTGTGGCTTGGACCCCCCCACCTAGTGCATTCTTGAAATTAAACTTTGATGGGTGTAATAGGGAAAATCCGGGACAATCAGGGATTGGGGGTGTTTTTAGGGATGAAAATGGGGTCATCTCTGCCATGTTCTCAGGCCCAATTGGAGTGGGTGACTCCTTTAGAGCTGAGATCTTTGCAGTTATGGAAGGAGTCTGGAAAGCTAAGGAATTGAACATCAAGAAACTCATAATTGAAGGGGATTTAGAAGTGGTGATAGGGTGGCTGACTAAAGATCAAAATGGTTTATGGAAGTACAATAATGAGAGGAGGAAATTCAAGTGGCTGGTGCGGGAGATGGAAGTTAAGACATGTTGGATTAAAAGATCGGCTAATTCCCTAGCTGACGGTTTAGCTAAACAAGGGGCAGAAAGGGATTCACTGTTTTGGGCTAAGCTGTAACGTTAGTGTCTTTTTTTCCTTTTTTCCTTTCTTGAAGCTCTTTGTGGCTCTTGGAAGATAAGTGTGTTTGTCTTCCACTTGTAAATTTTCTACTGATGATTTAATGAAAGTKKTWATTGATCAAAAAAAAAAAAAAAAGAAAACTATGCAACCACCCAAAAAAGGTCAACGAGGAGCTTTCTACTTCTTTACAATCCTTGAAGGCTTCAAAAGCTTCTTGTTTGACCCAAACCCAATCCCAAATAAACCTCCTCTCAATCTAGCAAAGACACTTGAAACCAATATGTCTCAGTATTTCCTCTTCCTTCTAAATCTGTTGACTGTCAGAGAGGTCTCCCTAAGTTTCCTTGCAACCTTAACTTCCTAATTGATTCTTTCCAACTTTAATACTGAGTTTTTCTTAAACAGTTGACTTGCCTTAGAGGCCTCAATATTTTTCTTAACAACTTCATTCAAACCAAATGATCTCTGAGTATGAAGACTTTCTTTCTGACGTTGAGACATTTTCTTTAGGGCCTAACTCACTATATTTAACTGGCATGGGACATTTCTCTTCCTATTCTTTGAGCATCTTCCTAACGCAATCCTCACCCCCTAGGACATTTACACCCAAAGCTTTGCAAACTTCAGCTTCTACATGCACAACCTTTTCCAAATCAACCTATTATTCAAGTTCATGGGTTTCATCCAAAGCAATCTCTTCGTCACTTGTTTCACCATCATTTTCTTCCTCCTCCCCCTTTCCTCCTTCCTCTTCTAATTCTGCAATCTCACTCTTCTCTAAAACTGGAAAAGTTGAGTAATTTCTTTTTCTGTTTTCTTTTAAAAGTTTTTGAACAAGACTCTACTATGTTCTTTTCTTCTCCCCCTAACTTCCCACTTTCAATTCCTTCAAACTTACCCCCTTGCTTTTCCCCTTGAAACATGTCTGTATTTTCCTTGTTTCCAAAGTTACCTTTTCCATTTATCATCACAGAAGCTCCACCATCTTTCTGCAAACACAGTTTTCCAAATTCACTGAAGTGACTGAACCTGAACCCTCCTTTGATGTTAGCAGCCTGACTCACTCCAGATGAAGTCCTGCCAATACCACCTCCAATTTCTCCTGTAACTTCAACTACTGTCACTTTAACTTCAGAATCTGCACCAAAGGACTTAATGTTTACATCCTTTTGAGTCTCCACCTCTAGCAATAACGATTGACAGGCCCAAACTTCAAACTCCGAATTCTCCTCCTTTTCCTCTTCTTTGTCTTCTGAACTCATAAAATCCTTTTCTAACATCATATACTTGCAAAAATATGTTGCCTTTGTTACTAAGTAATGTTCGGTAAGAAAAATGGCAATCATCTGGTACATCAACTGTTTATTTACATCAAATAAACTAGGAGATAAAAGGGAAATGTTGCATAGAAGTGTCCTCAAGAATCTGTAGTATCAGACCCCTATATGGGCACACCATCCATTTAGGAGAATCCATGCATCACTGATCCAAGCTCCAACAGAATCCATGACCAAACATATATCAGGCTTTCCATCTTTCCAATCACTGGATGGTCTGGACTTCATTGGCCATATCAAAACAAACCTGGCCCAGGACTGTAAATTTCTGGACAGGACATAGACTTGAAGTCTCAAGTCTGAGTAACCCAACCAGGCCTGGAATCCAAGTGTCGGGAAGTTCAGTTTCCATCAACAGAAAAATGGAGAAGAGAAGTGGATACTGAAGCTAAGAAGTTCAGTTTGGAAGAAGGTAGAAACAAGGGTAGGTGATCATTAAAGATAAGAGAAGAATAAGAGCCACCATTTATGAAGCTGAGTAGGTGATTGGATGGCTGAAAGGCTTCATGGATGGGACAACTTGTTCCATTAAGAAACAAGGTCGGAAGAGTGCAGTGGGCGCAGATGGGAAAAGGTTTGAAGTTGAGATGAGGAAAAACGAAAAAGGTTGGTTAGTAGTGATAATGGAAATGCTTGGTGATAACAAAAAACAGATGTTATGTGTGCTAGAGGGTAGAAAGAGATAAGGCTGGAGAATGTTTGCAGACTTATTACAGGAGTTTCTTTTTTTTTTTTTGATAGTACAGGGATCAGTGCCAGAAAGGCACGAAAACAAAATACAAGCACATCAATAAAACAAAGCAATCCTAACTAAAAACCATCATGCCATGGGGTTAGATGACCCCACGCATCAAAGAAACTGATTAAGCCTAGTCTAAAATCCTGTAACTTGGTGCAAGATATTGTCATGGTTATTACAGGAGTTTCTATTGAAGGTGGAAGAAAGATGGAATCCAAAACAAGGCAATGGTCCAGAGGTCAGTGATAAACAGAGCTATAATGTGAACTCGAAGAAGGAAATTTCAAAAAAAGGAGCTCCAGAAGCTATAGTGTGTAGTGCAACCAAAAGTTGAAGGATGCTGATAGATGCGGAAAAAGGAGCTTGGGAGAAGGAAGTTATTTTAACAACAGCCAATAAAATTACAGATTGGGGAAGGGTCTTGGAAGTTGTGAAGCAATTCAATCTAAAAGGTTCTGTGAATATTAATCCCTTCAAGGATTTGAAGGCTGTGTCATTTGGAGTAGACAAAGATGTGCTCCCCACTGCTGAAACGGTGAAATTCTCAGATGGTAACAGTGTTTTAAAAGCGCAATGCGCAAAAAAGGCACAAGGGTCAATTTGCGCCTGAGGCGCAAGGCAAGGTGTGCACCATTTTAAGCAAGGCACAAAAATTAAAAAAAAAAGGCTAAAAAATAAAAAAATTATTAAACATAATATTAATAAAAATATAAACTTTAATTTTAAAATAAATGTTTTAAAAAACCTATTATCTAATATTAAAATACATAWATATAACATGTAAAGCATATTCAAATGAGAATTTAAAAATAAAATCAAATATATAAAACATTTTCAAGCATATAAATCCCACAATCTCTTTTTTTCTCAATTGCATTATTTCAAGTAACTAATGTGATGTAAAACATATTACATTCCTGATTCTATGAGCTGCCTTTGTACCACGCCCCTCGAGGCAAGCCCAAACAAGTCCATGTTAGGTCTTAAGTTCTTAGTTCACACACAAAAAATAATGATTTTATAGTTTTAATTGCTTTTTAAGAAGACATTTTATTACGATGAATGAACGAACAACATTACCAAATAGGGGGTTCTCTCTCGAAGCTTCGGTGAGCAAGCAAACCAGAGCAGAGTAGAACCCCCTATTTGGTAATGTTGTTCATTCATTCATCCTAATAAAATGTCTTCTTAAAAAACAATTAAAACTATAAAATCATTATTTTTTGTGTGTGAACTATCTGGAACAAGCACAAAAGTTTGGATATCCCAATTTATTGGGAATTGGTTAAGTGATCATTAGTGAGTATCTTCTCTAAGAAAACTTTCAACATAAAGAATTATCCATTAATTAGGATGTTTGAAGCCTAAAACCAGACAAATGTTTGGATAGGGCCCAAAAGTTAAGAATAATTATAATGTGACTTGGATAGGGCCCACAATTTAAGAATAACAAAATATTATAACATCTAGAAACCACAGAAAAAAAATACTTATATATCACAGTAATGGCATGCTAGTTCCAGCCAGAATCCCACATTATTAGTTAAAGATACAAAAGATACACACAATATCATTTCAATTAAAAAGGTAATACCTTCCAATTTTCTTATTAATCCAAGAAAGCAAGCGCTCAGAAGTGCGTCCATCATCTATGGCATGTATTTCACTTTTTTCCTTGTTGGGTTCCCAACCACCAGAAGAAAATTTAGAAGGGGCCCCCCAAAGTAGCATAGGATAATGACCAACTGAAAACCTGTCGCAGAGCTTTGTATTTATCTGTGCTGCCACACATTTAAAAAGGAACAAATCATCAAACTACATCTATTTTTTTATCAGTAACAGACTTTTATTAGGGAGGATAGACACATTCCAAAATATGAATGAACTCAAATTAGAGTTCTAAGAACAGGGGATCATAGATTTACATGATTACCAAATCCATGAAAGTATACCTTCAATGCACAATCTACCCTTGCCATGAGTACAATACCCGGATGTGCAGCATCAGGTCCATTAAAAACCCTCGCAACCCTTTCATAATGAGGCTGCACAAGTTTTGCTTATTAAGTAAGTAAAATGTTAATCAATAATATGCATTAGGATGTAAACCTGAAAGTTATAGAAAATTTTACCTTGTAATTTCTACAAGCAGGACACCTGGAAGACCAATAGTAGTACAGGGTTATAACTTCAAATTACAGTATGAAACAGTATAAAGTGAGGCATCTAAAGTAATCATAAACAACAGACTTACTGAAAACTATTATAGGAAATTAAAACCTAATAATTTTCTCTCCACTAAGTTCAGCTCACAGTCTAACCAAAATCATTGTGCAGAACAAAGTCATTTACCCTATAACTGAACATTCTGGAGAAAAACACAAATCTTTCATTAATGAGAAGGAAAAACTCCCTCAACAGATTTTTCAAGTACACAAAATCTGTACAAAAAGAGGATGAAACATACAGATTACAGAACTATCCCAAATTCAAGACATCACAATTTTCATAAAAAATAATCACATCCCACTTTGAGCAAAAGTGTTGGAATATGAAATGGTTAAAGCTCTTAAGACAGCAGACCCACAAAAATATGGTTCTTTCAGTTTTCCCTATAAGAGCTTCCACCAGCTGAGCAGTATTCTTGAACACCCTACTTTTGTGCTTCTTCAAATAGACCAGAAAATAGAAAGAGGAGTCAGCTTCCAGAATTTTGCCTCTTGAGCTAAAACCAGGGAGAGACAAAGAGGATACTAAACTCTGCACATCACCAGGTATCACCCAAACTCTTTTTAACAACTGCAAGAACTGAGCTCAAGCTTTGTAGGAGAGTGGGCACAGCAGGAGTAGGTGTTCCTTATTCAGCAGATTCTAAGGTTGAGTCACTTGTGCCACAAGAAGAGTCCATCTGCATCCCTCTTGCAATCAGCTGCACTCTAGTGGGAACTTACGGTGATCATCCAAATAAAGAAGGTTACCTTAACAGGTGCTCTTGAAGACCAGATCCACTATCAAATAACTAGGTCTCCATTGTGGACTGTAAGAGATTTGTAGAAGAATCTGACAGAGAATATTCCATAATGCTGTGGCTTCCACCACCACTCATGTGGATTGGGAATCTGACTCTCCAATAGCTCCAGTAGCTGAACTAGACCTTCAGATTCCAATTGCCGTATGTTCCTACACATCTTTGCAACCCACACCAGCCTGTCCCCTGAATGCTCATAGCAGTCCCTGACTCATGCATTTTTATCTAGATCAATGTGGTATAGTTGTGGGACTCCATCAATGGCCTAGACCCACACCAAGTATCCTTCCAAAACAAAGTTCTTTCCCCACTCCCCAACTTGATGGATACCTCCCAATGAAATAACTCCTTATGTTTCATAATGCCTCAACAAATACTTGACCATATAAGGATAGGTGCAGTCTCCCAGTTCATCATATTACTTCCATATTTATGTTTTATAATTTTCCTCCATAGATCATTTATTTTAGCCCCATATCTCCAAGTCCATTTGCGTAATAAAGCTTCATTTAGGTAACCTAGATTTCTGATACCCACACCTCCAAATATCTTTGGCCTGCAAACACCTGACCAAGGGACCAAGTGACCTTTCCTCTCTCTGATTGGCCCTTCCACATACAAAGTTTCTTATCATCCTTTCAAGAGTATTCAAAATAGAAGTTCATGCAGTAAATAGGAAGAAGACATAAGTGGCAAATTTAATAAAGCATTGTATTCCCCTCCTTTAACAATACACTTCTCTTCCACCCCAACAATTTTGGCTGAAATCTTAAACAATTGGGTCCCATATCTCCAAAGATCTATAGGATGCACCTAGAGGTGAACTGATGGGATACTGCCCAGTGCAGAGGTCTCTTCGAGGGAGGCCTAACCTCCTACTAAGAGAAGAAGAAGGAAAATGGATTAAGCCAGGTCTGCCCTACTCATTTATTCTCAGATATTTATAAAGTTCACAAGGAGATCACGACATGTGCATGGGACTGTTCAGGGCTGACGTGTCTTCCTTGTGTACATAAGCGAATGGACGGGCGTTTGGCTTCCTTCATCATGCTGTGCTCCTCGCGGGCCTCTCTATAGGCAATGTGGGCTGGTCCTCAGGCTGGTTAGTGGTATGGGCCTGAGGTTTCATATGCACTGGGGCCCCAACAACTCGCCCCTCCTTCAAAACAACCGTGTCCTCAAGGTTGAAGCCTGGAAACATCTTCTTGAGATTGTCACAGTCTTCCCAGGATGCATCCTCCTTGGGCAGGTGCTTCCAAACCACCAAGGCTTCCTTGTGCACTGCTTTACCCCTTTTTACCCACCTTAAATCTCGAACCACCATAGGCTCGGGCTGCAGGTGTCCCTCCTCATCGAACTCAGGCAATGTGGGGCTAGCATCCATGTGAGATCCTATGCTCTTCTTTAGTAGGGAAACATGGAAGACTGGGTGGACACGAGAAGATGGCAGAAGGTCCAATCTGTACGTCACCTCTCCTACTCAGCCCACTATCCGAGGTGCAAATTTAGGCCCAAAAAACCGAGGTGCAAATTTAGGCCACTTCCAATGGGCTACTAACACTTGGCGGTAGGGCTGAAGTTTCAGGAACACGAACTCTCCTTCCTGGTAGGTCACCGGCCTATGCTTCTTGTCATACTGGGCCTTCATCTGCTGCTGGGCCCGGTTCAAATGCTCCTTCAAAGACTTCAAAACTTCATCTCTCTGTTGTAGCTTTTCTTCAACTTCCACCACTGCTGTCGACCCAACTTCATAGGGGGAGTATAAGAGGTGGTTCCCTCCCAAACAGTGCCTTAAATGGGCTCATTCCCAGTGATGAGTGATAGGTGGTATTGTACCACAGCTCGGCCCATGGAAGCTAATTCATCCACTGTTTAGGCCTTTCCCCGTGAAGCATCTCAAATAAGTTTCCAAACACCTGTTAACAACTTCAGACTATCCGTCGGCTTGTGGGTGGTAACTGGTGGTGTGGTTCAACTGAGTCCCCTGGGCTTTAAAATATGCAGTCCAGAAGCGGCTCATGAAAGTTGGGTCCCTATCCGTCACAATGGATCGTGGGGTTCCATGCAAACGGGTCACCTCTTTTACAAAGGTGTGTGCTACTTGGGCTGCTGTATATGGGTGTGCCAGCCCAATAAAATGACTGCATTTGGTTAATCTGATTTACCCATTGATGTGGGTTAGCTTGGCCCAGCCCACTAATGCCTGCTAACGTCAGCCACAGTAGGAGGGAGCCTTGCTGCCTCCGTACAGAGCCAATCACATAACTATCTGGCGTACCACCAGGGCTTGCAGCCTGAACTCGTATGGCTCTCATCCAAGGCGTTCATCTTCACCTACTACCAGCATGCTCAAGTATAAATAAGAGATAACTGCCCCTTAAAAGGGGCTGGAACGTAGTAACTCCAAGATCACTCTCTCATTTACTTCCTACACCTACATTGTCTACCTAGCATTAATTTAGGGAGATCCGGTGCATCCGAGGACTCTCTCCAGGAGCACTTTCGCACTCCCCCCATGCTTCACACCTCATACTAACTTGAGCGTTGAAGCCTCCGCCTCAGGTATCCACCCCGAGGTCTCTGACACTCCCTGTCTTGCAGTATCTCAGGTCACCCATGACGTCGCCTTGACTAGCAGTCCTCGGCTACTATAGTCCTCGAAAGGAGTACTTCGCCTTGGTTCGCTGTCCTCGGCTTCGGTCAACCTCTTCCGAGGCCTCGAGGTCTTCAGCCAACACTCGGAACCTGAAGAGTGAAATTACCTTGTTGCCCTTGGCCAACCCGCACGGCAACAATTGGCACTGTCCGTGGGAAATGTGGATGCTATGACGACCCCCACTCCAGGATAAACAATAATAACACTCTAGACCCAAAACCCCTTTAAGCTTGGAAGTCATGCTGAGGAAAGCCAAGAACAACCCGGACTTGGATACCTACGAACAATTTCAGGCCGTCCTCGATCGTTTGGACCCCCTCACCCAACGAATGGAAGAAGTCTACCCCCGAGCAAGAGGTCCCTCTCAAGGCAACCGCCCCGCTGGGGTGTTAGAGGATCAAGACCGACGCGAAAACATTGAGGTACCGGCCCTCGGCCACGGTAATCTGCTGGTCGAACCATTAGAATCGGGCAATAACCACCTCCCGGACTCACCTCAAAGGAATGTCTATCCTCCTAGCCGAAAGGAGAGTGTGCCCGCTCAATCCGAAGATAGTCATCAATCTTTGGAGTAGCACCACCGCCGTCGTAAGGAGGCCCCCCAGGACGATAGCGAGCAGTTCGGTCGCCTTGGAGGTCACTCCCATGGCGAGAGCCGACACCATCCCACTCTGCCTCCCGTCTCAAACCTCAGGGACGTTCTGAACGACCATCGCACCCACAGAGGAGCGCACGACCCTGTCTCGGAGCATTCAGGAGTCCGAGCCGGCACCCATCGAGTCCGCGAAGATAGAAGTCGGGCCCATGCCCGTGCTGACCCAGGGATTGCCGAGTTGCGAGCCGAGATTGGGGCTGTTAAGGATGAGCCCCGCAAGGTTAAGGAGAGTCGAGTCGACACCTCAACCAGTCACGACAACTCCACGGGTCGCATGGACGCATTCACTCAGGAAATCATCTTGGAGCCTCTTCCCCAACACTTCAAGGCTCCCACACTGGAGACGTACGACAGAAGCACTGACCCCGATGACCACTTGGAGAGTTTCAGAGCGCTCATGATATTGTACGGATATTCTGACGCCTTGACGTGCCGGACCTTCCAGGCTACCTTCAGGGGGGCCGCTTGTCGCTGGTTCTCCAGCTTGTTCCTCGCCCGCTTCATCAACAGCAGACAATGCCAGAAGAGCGTAGTCTTTCTAATGTCGCTCAAACAAGAGTCGGGTGAAAAACTACGGTCTTATATCGACCGCTTCAAGAAAGAGGAGCTCGAAGTTCGAGACCTCGACCCTATGGTCTCCATGCACGCGGCCATTAGCGGACTCTGCCCCAGTTCGGCTCTCAAGTGCTCAGTTGCCAAGACCCCACCGAAGACCAAACTCGAATTCCTCAAAAAGGCACAAAAATACATTGCGACCGAAGAGGCTTCGGCCAGGAACGACCAAGAAAGGGTAGTCGAGCGCCACGACGGGCCCTCGG